CTTGAGCTGCCCGGCTCTGGGTGGAGGAGCAGCTTCCTCCGCCCCTGGGAGCGTCTCTGGCTGGCCTCTGCTGGGCCTCCTCTAGAGGATGGGTGTGTGGCAGTGCCCCACCTCTTCTGCAGGCCTCCTGCTTTCTGCCCTGCCCTCCCTCTGCCCCAGGAGGGTGCCGTGGCGGGGCACTCCACACCCTTGTTACCCAGAGGCTGCCGGAACACTTTTCTCCAAGGGAAACCGCAGCTGGGGAGGAGGCCAGAGGTCTAGGGCCTCACGGTGCCCAGCATCATCTCACTGTGCTCCCGGAGAGCCTCCAGGCTGAGGGGTCCCCAAAACACACGGGGGAAGCACCCGCAGGAGAGGTGGGGGGGAACACCTATGCTCTGGTGATTTGGGGTACCCTCGATGCCTAGTTTTGCCTCTGTTGGGTGCAGTGCACCCTCCCAGCCCTCCGGCCCTCTGCCCACTGTGTGTGTGTGTGGGGGGGTGGCGGGGGCTGGGCCTTGGGGATGTCAACTGCTGGCTGTCATAAGGGACTCTGGGCACTCTCCTGATCTCCCTTCAGAATCACAGGCTGAGACTGTCCAAGGTGGGGCAGCTCAGTGTGGGCCTGCAGCATCTCCCTCGGAACCTCAGGCTTTGGGGACCGTGGGCCCCCATATCCACAGTCCCACTGAACCCTGCTGGGTCGTAAGAAAGTCAGACTTCCACGCCTCCAGAAAGAGCTGTGAGAGGTCATGTTCAATTGCTCAATTCCGTGAGAGAGAAACTGAGGCTGGGGCAGGGAAGACTGGCTAAGGCCACCAAAGCTAAGACTAGTCACAGTCAGGCTTGACGATGAATCTGGATATGACCTTGAACTGGAGATTGGACCTGGATCTTGATCCCAGACCCAAAAGGTTGACCTGGACCAATTCCTAGACCTTGAAACTTGAACTTGGACATGGAGTTTGCCCTGGATACCACACTTGTACCTGGAACTTCAGACCCTGATCTTGGACCTAGACTTGGGGCCTGGTCCTTGACCTAGAGTTGGACAAAGACATAGGACCTGGACCTCAGATCTGGTTTGGGATACTGGACCGGATGTCGGATCTGGACTTCCCACATGTCTTTAATCTGGACCTTAGATCTGGACCAAGATGAAGATGCCAGCGGCCTGTGGTTATAGAGGACTCTGGTGGCTCTGCTGTGTGTCCTCAGGCACCTCCCCAGCCTACTCTGGGTTACCCCTGCCAGAGGATCGGGGCAGCCCTTTTGCACCCCTGTTCCCCACGTGGACTTCCTCAGGTAATGTGCAGTAACCGGGGCTCCTCAGCCTGCTCCCAAGCCTGGCCTGGAGCGACAACTCGGCGCCATCAAGGGGAGTGAGAGGCAGCCGGTGCTGGTGTGATGTGGTCAGCGAGACAGACCCAGGGGTAGAAGCGGGAGCGCTCCTCGGCCTGCTGGGAGGCTTCCTGTGGCTGCAGAGGGCAGACAGCTGCGCTATTGGATTGGCATTGATCCTTCCTCTGCCTGGGTCGGGCGCGCTGAGAGGGTTTGGGGGTAGGGGAGCGCTGGGGTGCAGAGGGAGGGACCCTGACTCTCAGCTGGAGTTCAGAGTTAAGTGTGAGGGTGAGGCGGAAGTGGACGCTCTAGGAGATGTCCTTTTCAGGGGGTCGTGGAGACCACTACACACAGTGTCATGAATGGCCGCCTTCTGGGGGTGGTGGAGGGCCCCACATCACCCTGGGGGGAGGCTGGGCTGTGAGGAGGTTGGGCTGGGTGGAGGCGGAGGGAGGTGCGGTGGGGGTTGGAGGATACGGGTTGGCATCTCAAAGGCAGACTGCTCGGAATCTCCAGGGGAGGAGAGAGGAAGCCAAGGGGCCTTGGGGGCAGGGGCAGGGGAGGAGCCCGGGGGGCAGGGAGACCGGAGGCTTCGCATTGGAGGGGACAGGGACGTTGGATCTTGCCCCTCCTCCTCAGGAACTCCGCAGAGAGACCCAGAGCTTTCTCCACTGGGGGCATGTCCCTTCCTATTTTGAGGTTCTGTGGGTTTGGGGGCAACCCGGAGTCCAGATACACCTGCGGTGCCTTCCGCCCAGCCAGGAGGCGGAGGCTGAGGAGGCGGGCGTGGGAAGGCGGAGCAGGGCGGGCCTCAGGGTGTGCGCGCCTGTGCGCCTGTGTGGGAGGAACCTCCAGGAATTCTCCAGCAATCCCGGGGGCTCCTGGAGCTGGGGCACACCTCTTTAATTTGGGGTCCTGCATCTTTATCAGTTAGGAACCTGAGGTCCCTCTACCTGCACTCTGACAGCTCCCCCCTACCCCCCACCCCAGTCGGTTCTCCTCCCACCAGCCTCATCCCGACCCTGCAGCCGGAGCTGCAGGAAGGGCTGGTAAGAGGATCTTTCTAATAACTGGAACTATCTCCAGCCCCAGCCCCAGGCCCTCCCCCTCCCTCCTCCCCTCCCTCCTCCCCTCCCCCTCTCCCTCCGCTCCTCTCCCCTCCTTTCTCCTTGTTTACCCAGCACACTTACACACGCTGGGAGAGAAAAAAACGTCGGCTCAGCAATTTTTCACACTTCCCTCAACCGCTCAGCAAGGTTATTTCCGGCAGAGCAGAGACAACAGGGCCACCAGGAGCCAGCGGGGTCTCCAAGGACCCCCAGGACCCCCCACCCCCACCCAGCCATGGAGCGACGGGGGCCTCACTGCCCAGTCTGGCCACACCCCAGGAAGGGAGATGCCCCTGAAAGCAGGACGAGGCGGACCCTGTGTTTCCCGGTCTTACCTAGCCTTGAGCCCCCCGCCCCCGCCCCCCCACTGACTGTCCCTAGCAGCCACAGCTGAGGTGGCCAGGTCAGAGTGCCTGTCCTCACTGTGGGCAGCCTGCTGAGACTAAGAAACTAAGAAAAATGTCGGGTTGCAGAAACTCTGCCACCCTCAGCCAGGGGCATATGTTCCCAGAGCCCCAAGGGAACCTGACAATGGCCTCCCAGCATTTGGTTAGGTCCTTGTCCAGGTGTCTGTAGTGTCTCTCACAACCACACTTGACCTTCACAGAAGCTGAGCTCGTCAAAGTTGGAAGGATGTTTAGTGCATGACATCCAAACCCTTTCACTGCCGGGGAGGCTGAGAACCAGAAAAGGGAAGACACTTGCCCAAGGTCACACAGCAGGTGAGAGACCTAGAGTCCAGGTCCCCTGTGTTTCAGGCTAGGCTATCCGGCCAGTCTAAGGATTCCCCAGAGGCGGGTGAGTTGGTCTGGAGTCCTTTGGGGGAAAGGGGTTCAAAGATAAGGGGTTCTGGGGTGTCAAACCTGAGGGAATCTCGGCAGTAATACCACTGTCCCACCCTGCTTCCTACCACTCATTCGGGGCTTCCTTTCAAAACCTGTTTGGACTGAATTCAAGGCCAAGCATTCTCCAAGGAACAGCCCACAGTTTTGGCTTTGCGTGGGAAATTCTCCGAGCTTCTCTGGGTTTCCTCAGCTGGCATAGGGGTRGAACCAAGGGGACCTCAGTGGGAGGGATACCGGAGCTTTGTGTCACCCCTAAGGGATCCATATTCATCTTGCAGATATTTCCATTTCTACCAGCTCCCGGTACATACTCCCCAGCCTTGGCATGGCCCCAGGTCCACCCTCTGTCCTACCAGTCTCAGCCCAGCCATGTCCCTCAGCTTCTGCCTGCCACCCCATGGAGCCCAGAGCCAAGAGGAGAGTAGAATAAGGGGTGTGTGGCTAAAGAGAAGGGGGATGTGTTGGGTAGCTGGGGGAGCCCAGGGGCTGGGGGGCTGAAGCTGTGTCCTTGATCACTCCCTAACTTCTTTGACCTTGGTGAGGTCACAAGGCCCTTTGCCCAGCACCCTCTCTCTACCTGGCTTGGCAAAGTGTGGGAACATGAGCAAAGTGCTTGGAATCCCGAGGCAGGGGGCCCCCACCCTCCAGGATGCCTGTCTTTGCCATCTCAGCATCCTTCATCCCTAGCCCTTTCTCTCTCTCTCTCTCTCTCTCTCTCTTTCTCTCTCTCTCTCACATACACACACACACCCCAAAGCTGATGCCACACTTGATGTCAGTTCTGTCACTACCAAAGTGACTCCTCCTCTCCAGGCACCTGCCCTGGAGGGGGCCATCAGAGGGGAGGCCTTTTGTGATCCCCTTGATGGAGATGGGGGCCCACAGAAACAGTCTCCTCCCTAGCCTGCAGAGATCACCCCCTCTGCGGCCAGGATGACCTCTCTCGTCCCCCAAACCCTTGTCCCTGCGGGAACTTGCTGTAAGAAGGGGTGGGGGTGGGGCAGGCAGCGGGGGAGGCTCACGGGGAGCAGCCGGGCTGGCTCTGGAGGGGGCAAGAAGCTGGCGATGGGGAAGGAGTGCAGCTCAGGGGACCAGGAACCACTTTGGGGGAACCCCTCCCAGAAATCCCCTCTTCTTTGCAGTCCCTAGGACAGCCCAGCCTTTGGCAGGCGTGTGGCTGAGGGTAACAAAAGAGTTATTTAGAGAGGGGGTCTGAGAGCACTCGCCTGGCATCACCAGGGGGAGCAGGTTTGAAGGAAGGGGGTGCATCCAGCCACCCCCAGGGAGTCGACCCCACCTCCTCGGGGATTGGTAGTCCAGGCCCCTTTACTTTCCCCACCGGGAGCGGGCAGCCAGCTGGCCTCCGTCCTCCCACGGGGAGGGGGTACCCTCAAACTGCCTTGTGCAGGAGCCCCCCAGCACCGGCGGTCCTGAGCTCCCCGTCTGTCCGCAGTCTCCCATCGGCCCCCTCACTCCAGCCCGTTCCAGGGCCACAACTTTCAAAGTCCCGGCTGGCGCGTGGCTGTGGGATGGGCCGACCCTGTGACTTTCCCTTTGTACGACCTGGCCCCAGCCCCGCCCGCCCGGCCCTCGGCGAGTCCGGGAGGCGCTGGCGGCCAGAGCGATCTCCTCCCGGGGTTCCCTGCCGCGCGCGCCCCTCCTCGCGTCCAAGTTGGGGAGGGCCGAGCTCCCTCCGCTCTCCCCGCCCCCGCCCGGTCCCACTCACCGTTGTCCCCGGGCGGCCCCCGGGCGCCGGGCAGCACGTAGGCAGTCTCCAAGGGGTGGTAGGTGGGGGCCGGCCCCCCGCTGCACTGGAAGCCGTCCCCTTTGATCTTCTTCACCAGGAAGGAGCGCGGCATGGCGCAACTGGCGGGGGGCTCGGCGGGGGGCACTGGCGCGGCCCGGTGGGGGGAGGCGGCCGGCGGGCGCGATTGGCTGTCCGCGCGGTTTCAGCACTGGACAGCTCCCGGCGGGCGGGCGGGCGGCGGGCGGGCGGCGCTCGGAGCCGGCCCCGGTGGCGGCGGCCCCGGCTCGGCTCGGGCTCCCGCTCGGGCTCGGCGGCGGCGGCGGCGTGCAGACAGGCGGTCGCTGGAGCTGTGCTCAGCACTCCGGCTGCCGGCTTTATATGGGACGCAGGCTGGAGGAGATCAGGTGGTCCCCTAGCAATGGAACTGTTCAGCGCTCTAATCCATCAAATGTCCCCCAGGACAATCGCTCCGCACACGTTCCCCCGAACCGGCGGCGGTGGGGGCAGGCCAGGCGCGGGGAACGGCGAGCAGGCAGGAGGGAGAAAGTGAGGGCGAGGAAGGCGCAGAGACGGAGAAAGGGGAGTGTGTGTGTGTGTGTGTGTGTGTGTGTGTGTGTGTGTGTGAGAGAGAGAGAGAGAGAGAGAGAGAGAGAGAGAGAGAGAGACATGCAGAGAAAGAGAGAGATGCACGCAGAGGGGCCAAGATAAGGACAAAAAGACACCAGCGACAAACAGGGAGAAGAAAGAGAGCCTGAGAAAGTGGCCGCACGCACTCCCGCACCCACAGGAGGAAGGGAGCCCCCCGGGAGGCAAAGAAAGGGAAAGAAAAGTGAGAGGGAGAAACTGAGGGGCGCAGAGGGGGAGCAGTCCTGAGCGGGTGGGGTCAGGAACATGGGGACACGGGGAAGGGGGCGCAAAGAAAAGAGTGAGTCCCCGGCAGCCGCCCTCCTGCCTGCAGTGTGCTCCCTCTGCCCCGGTTCTGAAGGGGCCAGTGTGGACACCCCGCTTTAACTCGAGGAAGTCCCCCCACTCCCGGCTCGGGCGCCTGCCGGAGCCTCCTATTGGGTTTGGGGCTCAACTTTCTTCTCCCAGAACTGGTGGGGGGAGCGAGTCCCCCAGGCCGATGCCCAGCCCGCTCAGCCGGTCCTGTTCCGGTGCCTCGCTCAGGCGAGCGCTGCCAGAGGAAGTGAAAATCGTCCAGTAATTAATTTCCCTGCTGCCGGGGGGTGGTGGTTTTGACACATCCGAGGCTGTGTCTTTCCCTGAAGCGGGGAGCAGACAATAGAGACACGTGGACTGGGAAGGGAGAGGGGGGAAGGGAGGGGGAGCGGGACTCCTGCTGGAACTCCGCAGGTCAGCTCCTTTGTCTCTGGAAGGATCTGAGAAGACCCCCCCCACAATCCAGCCCAAACCTGGGGGAGGGGGGGTGCCTTGGCAGGACTAAGGAGCAGGAGAACTCAGTCCCTTACCAGAGGATGCTGGGCAGAGCCCCAGGGTGGTGGGCCAGACTCACCAAGTGTGGGATGGTCAGTGCCYAGGAGTCCCAGAATCAGACTCTAGGGATGCCAGGCTCTCTCTGGTCGCCGGCATTCTGTTGATGGTGGCAAAGCTGATGGAGTGGGGATGTCCTCTGGGGACTGTGTCATCCAATACCAACCAGGAGTGTAAGACCCAGAGAGGGCAAGGAGGTGCCTGAGGTCACACAGTGAGTCAGCAGCAATTTCCAGAGACCTCAATGTCTTCTGGGCACCCCTGAGTCAAGGCCTTATCACAGTCTTTGAATGGTGGCTTAGAAATTTCAGAATCAAATTTGGACCCCTGACCTTGCCAGGGCTCTGTGAGATCGGGGAGTCTCTGATCATCTTCCTAGTCATATTGTTTTGCCCCCCTGGGGCTTTTTGTCACCTTGGTCACCAAGGGGTCCACAGCCCTGGACGCCTGGCACACCCCTGTATTCCCCACTCCAGCCCCTGAGCCTGCTTCTCCTCCTTCCACCTCGGCCTCCATACTATCCCCTGGAGGCCTGGTCCCTCCCTCCCTGTCATCCCAGGAAACCCCTGCTGGTCGCCAGGCCTTGGCTGAGGCAGGACTTCTGGCCAGGAGCTGTCCCTGCCTGCCTTCACCATAGACCAAGCCATCTTGCCCATTAGCCCCTGAGTTCCTGAGCAGGAGGACTCGGTCGTGTGTGTGTGTGTGTGTGTGTGTGTGTGTGTGTGTGTGTGTGCGCGCGCGAGCGCGCGCGCGCGCCTTGGCCCACTCTCAACCGTGTGTACTGAGCTCTCCTGCCTACTAGCTCTGGAGCCTTGGGCAACTGCTCTGTGTTGGTCTCTGTGTTTATAAAATGGGAACAATACCTGTTGCTGCCTCGGGGTCATTGGGAGGACTAGAAGCCTTGCTGTGTACAAGGGACTTGGATGTAGTAGGTGCTCAGTGCGCTGGGATTTCGTGTATGACACTGCCCGAAGCATCCAGCATTCACCCAGCCCGTGTTTGTGGGATTCTGTGAAATCAGTGTCAACTAGACAGCCCCGGGCCCTGCGGCTTTGGAGCTGGCAACCCAGGGAGAGTGGATGGACACTAAGGAGGGAGAGGAAACCCTCAGGCCTGTGCTGCTGTGAGGAACAGCCCAGGGCGAGATAACGGAGGGTGATGGCGCCTTCAGACACCGCAGCCGGCAAGTCTCCTGGGGGAGGGCCACTTGAGCAGGCCACAGAGGAGCTCCAGGAGGAGTCTTCAAAGTTCAAAGGCAGGAAGGAGCCTGGCCAAGTGAGGAATAGCCCGAGGTGGAAGGAGATGAGGCCCAGTGGCTGGGGGGCCTGAAGCCAGGGTGTCCACTGCACCCTGAATGAGGTGGGTGGGAGAGGGTGGTGGGGAGGTGCCGCCTATAGCCCGGGGCCATTGTTGGAGAATAACTTTCTGCTCCTGCAGGGAGGTGGCTGCTTGGTTATTGGTTTGTTTGCTGTTACTTATGGTGTAGCCATGGTTTTGTTTGGAGTTTGTACCAAGCATGGAACCCAGAGGTGCTTTTACCACGCAGCCCCATCCCCAGCCCTTTTTTAGACTTTATTTAGAGACAGGGTCTCATTGAGTTGCTTAGTGCCTCGCTGTTGCTGAAGCTGGCTTTGAACTCGCCGTCCTTCTGCCTCAGCCTCTTGAGCTGCTAGGATGACAGGCGTGTCCCCGGCCCCCGGCATATTTTGGRTTTTGTGCTGGGTACTGTCCTCCACCAGGGCCTTCTCCACTGGGGATAAAGAAGACAGCTGGTGCCACGGAGCTCACCTCTGCCCTCCTGAGGAAGACTTCAACTTGGAGGGGTGCACAATGGCTGCCATCGTCTCATCACTAGGGCACCAAAGAAGGGCCTTCTGTCCCCTGAGCCTCCCCCCGATGCCAGCTTACGAGTTTCGGAAAGTCTTCTGTTCGAATTCATCTCTCCAAGTCCCATCAAAGAAGGAAATAACTTTATTCCCAAGAAAGTTTGCTGCAGCCTCGGAAATTAGAATAAAGCCCCAAGCTGCAGGGAGTAGGCAGAGGGTCGGGAAGAAAACATCCACTTGGTGGAATGTTCCATCACCATTAAAATCATCATTAAAAGTTATCAAAAAGTTATTACTATAGGGCATAAAATCTCGTGGAATTATGTGCAGTGGAGGGTGAAGAACCCAGGAATCTCTCGCAGCGTGTCCCCAACTACAAACCAAAATAACAAACAACACGCCCTGCAAAGTGGAGGGCTGGGCGCGGTTGGTAGAGGGCTTGCCCCATGCACAAGGCCTGGGTTCAACCCCCAGCACCACACACACAAAAATAAAGCGAAGGGCTTGGGGAACCGTGCAGGGGCCTCCCCCTCTTCTTTTTGTATCATCCCCAAAGTCTATAAAGTATTTCAGCTCAGCAAACACTTGCTCACTATCTGTTTACTTCCCGATGAAAGAAATGATGAAGTTCAGTAAAAACATGCAGGATACTCATGATCCCTGCTTCTGCCTTGGAGAAGACAGCTGGTGGCAACCATTAATGCTGCACCCGGGACATGCCAAGCCACAGCTCCAGCCAGGCACTGTGCTAAGCACTGGTCTCTAGGAGAAGCTGGACTGGCCTCGGGCTTTAATTTTATTTATTTTTTTTGACAGTGGTGGGGGATCAAACCCAGGGGGGCTTAACCACTGAGCGCATTCCCAGCCCTATTTTATATTTTATTTAGAGACAGGGTCTCACTGAGTTGCTTAGGGCCTCGCTATGTTGCTGAGGCTGGCTTTGAACTTGCAATCCTCCAGCCCCAGCCTCCTGAGTCTCTGGGTTGCCCGGGGCCTGAGTTCAAGGGGCCTGGGCTTCATTTATTTTCAATTCAAATTCCTGCCCTAGCGTTTCCCAGCTGTGTGATTCCGGGCGCCCCAGTTTTCTCTTCTGTAAAGTGGGGTCAACCTAGAGTCTGCTGCCCAAGCTTGCGGTAATGACTGGGTGGTGATGCTAAGAATGTGGCCTGGCACCGGGTGACGTGACTGGGTGACTCGCCGACTCTGATGATTATGCATCTCYACCCATCTCGGCCTCTCGATGGCGTCCAGGGAGAAGGTTTTATTATCGGCCTGTTCTACAGACAGGGGGGAAGTGACCGGCTTCAGGCCTCTTGGTCACTGAGCAGAAGAGCCGGGGAGGGTCCCACATCCAGGCCCCCTGGCAGCCAGCCTTGGCAAGAGGGCCTAGCTGGGGGCTGCCCTGCCCAGCCCGCTCTGGTACCCTCCAGATCTCAACCCTGCTCCTCAGGAAGGAGGGCACCTCCCAGGATCTGGGTGTGAGTCTCGGGGCTGTGCGACCCTCTGCGGCCGGCAGAGCTGATCTGAGCCTCCCCTGCACGTGTGGAAGGAGAGGCTGGTGCCCCCTGCACTTCTGAGGCTGCCTCTTGGGCAGGAGGAAGGAGCGCTGCCTGGACCCAGGGACCCACCCCTGCCCTCCTGCTGGGCCAGCTTCTTGTCTGTCGAGTGGGGATGGGACAGGATGGTCCCTGAGCTGCTGTCCAGAGCTGATAATGGAATTCTGTACGAATTCCAAGGAGGAGAGTGGCCACAAATGCATCCGCTCCCGGCTGACGGGGCTCTTTCTCGGTAAGCC